CAAGAGATACACCTTAGAGACAAAGACAAAAATAGACCAGAAATCAAATATTGAAAAAAGATATATTAAGGAAATGGCAATCAAAAAAGAACAGGAGTGGCAATATTAATTTCTGATAAAATTGACTTTAAAACAAACCGTGATAAGAGACAAGGAAGGACATTATATAATGATTAAAGGATCAATTGAACAAGAGGAGATAACCATAATAAATATCTGTGCACCCAATGAAAGAGCCTTAGACTTTGACAGAATTGAAATTACAAATAGATGACTCCACATAACAGTAGGAGACTTTAATGTACCATTTTCAAACAATGATAGAACTGGAAAGAAACTCATCAAAGATGCAAAAAACTAAATAATACAATCCACCAACCTGACCTTGTAGACATCTACAGAGCTCTTCACTCAACAACAGAACAATATACATTCTTTCCCAGTGCACATGCAATATTCTCCAGGGTAAACCATATGTTCGGCCACAAAGCAAGCCTCACTAAATTGAAGAGCATTGAAATATTGCAAAGCATCTTCTCAGATCACAGTGCTACAAATAGAAATCAGTAATAGGAAGATCAACGGAAAAAGAGCAAACCCATGGAAATCAAGTAACACCCACTTTAAGAACAAGTGGGTAATAGAAGAAATAAAAAATGAAATTAAAAAAATTCCATGAATCAAATGAGAATGAAAACATAACATACCAGAATCTTTGGGACACAGCAAAAGCAGTGATCAGAAGGCAATTAACAGCAAAAAAAAAAAATGCACACATCAAAAAAGAAGAGCTAAAATCAACATCTTACCCCAATATCTCCAACAACTAGAGCAGCAAAAATAGCTTATAGTCACCAGCACAAAAGAAATGATAAAGATTGTAGCAGAAATAAATGAAACAGAAAATAGACAATAGGAAAAATCAACAAGAATAGAAGTTAGTTATTTTAAAAGATTAATAAAATTGGCAAACCACAAGCAAACTTAAGAAGAGAGAGAAAGAATACAAATAACAGAAGTAAGAAACTAATTGGGCAATGTCAAAACAGAACCAACTGAAATAAAAAGGGTAATATCAGAAAACTATCAAGAACTGTAGTCCAACAAATTTAAAATCTAGAAGAAATGGACAGATTTTTAGAAACATACTACTTACCTAAACTGACATAGACTGAGGTGAAAATTTTGAACAGACCCATAACAAAAGAAGAAATTGAACAAGTCATAAAAAAAAAAATTACCAACAAAAAAAAAGGTTTTGGCCCAGACAGTTTCACTAGAGAATTCTACCAAGCGTTCAGAGAAGAACTGACTCCAATCCTACTCAAACTATTCCAGAACATAGAAAAGGATAGAATCTTCCCAAATTCATTTTATGAAGCAAACATAACGTTGATACCAACACTGGGCAAAGACATCACTAAAAAGGAAAACTACAGACCAGTATCTTTCATGAATATAGATGCAAAAATCTTCAACAAAATCCTGGCCAGTAGACTCGAACAACATATTGAAAAAATAATACATCATGACCAAGTGGGGCTCATACCAGGTGTCAAGGATGGTTCGACATTAGAGAAATAATCAACATAATCCGTCACATAAGTAAAATAAAGGAAAAGAGCCATGTGATCATATCACTCAATGCAGAAAAGGCGTTTGATAAAATCTAACACCCATTCCTGATTAAAAAAAAAAAAAAAAAAAACCTCTCAGCAAAATAGGAATAGAAGGGAAATTCCTCAGCATAATAAAGGGCATATATGCAAAACCAACAGCCAGTATTATTCTCAACGGAGAGAGTGAAACCATTCCCCTTGCAAATGGGATCCAGATAAGGATACCCTCTATCACCACTTTTATTCAGCATTGTATTGGAAGTTCTAGCCAGAGCAATAGGCAACAAAGGGAAATCAAAGGGATCCAAATTTATAAGGAAGAAGTAAAACTATTCCTATTGGCTAATGATATGATTCTATACATAAAAAAACTCGAGAGACTCAGGGAAAAAACTACTGGAACTAATTAAGAGGTTGAGGATAGTGGCAGGATACAAGATCAACATAAAAAATCAGTTGAATTCCTCTACACCAGCAAAGAGATTGCTGAAAAGGAAATAAGGAAATCAGTACCATTTACAATAGCTACCAAAAAAATAAAATACTTGGGAATAAATCTTGCCAGGGACACAAAAGACCTGTACAAAGAAAACTACAAAACACTACTTCAAAAACCATAAGAGATGTACGTAAATGGAAGAACATACCATGTTCTTGGATAGGAAGATTGAACATTGTGAAAGTGTCAATTCTACCCAAAGCAATCTACACATTCAATGTAATCCCAATCTAGATCCTATCAACATTCTTTAAGGATGTGGAAAAAAAATCACAAATTTTATATTGAAAGGAAAGAGACCTTAGTTAAACAAAGCACTATTGAAGAACAACAAAGTAGGAGGTCTCACACTCCCAGATCTCAAAACCTACTAGATAGCCACGGTAGTCAAAATAGCTTGATATCTGTATAATGATAGACACATGGATCAGTGGAATAGAGTCGAGAACTTCTATAGATCCATCAACTTATGGTCAGCTGATCTTTCGCAAAGGGCCAAAATCTATTAAATGGGGAAGAGATAGTATCTTTAACAAATGGTGTAGGCAAAACTGGTTATCCATTTGCAGAAAAATGAAACAAGATCCATACCTCACACCATACAGAAAAACTAACTCCAGGTGCATCAAAGACTTAAATGTGAACCTTAAAACTATAAAGTTCTTCAAGGCAAAAATACGGGCAAATTTAGGGACCCTAATTTATGGCATAAATAGACTATCAAGCATCACCCAAGATGCACAGACAGCAGAAGAGAAATTGGATGAATCAGACCTTCTAAAGATTAAATTTCTTTGTGCTTCCAAAGACTTCTCCAAAAGAGTCAAAAGAGAACCTACAGATTGGGAAAAAATGTTTAGCAATGACATACCTGACAAGGGACTTATCTTATAAAAAAGTCCAAATACCTCAATAAAAAGATTAACAATCCAATTAGTAAATTGGCAGAAGACACGAATAGACACTTCACCAATGAGGATGTTCAGGCAGCCAACAAACACAAGAAGAAATGTTCACAATCATAGCCATTAGAGAGATGCAAATCAAAACAACAATGACATACCATCTCACCTGAGCACTAATAGCAAATTTTAACAAGACAGAAAATAACTAATGCTCATGAGGATGTGGTGAGATTGGGACTCTCATACACTGCTGGTGGGACAGTAAAATGATACAACCAATGTGGAAATCAGTATGTCAGTTCCTTAAAAAGTTGGGATTAGAAATACCATTTGATCCAGCAATCCCATTACTATGTATATATCCTAAAGAAGTGAGAGGCAGGACAAGAACAGATATGTGCACACCCATGTTTATTGCAGCACTATTCACAATAGCCAAGACATGGAAACAGCATAAGTGCCCATCAACAGAAGAATGGATAACCAAACTATAGTACATACACACACTTGTGGAATAGTATGCTGCACTAAAGAATAACGTAGAATCTGCGAAATGGATGAGCGTGGATATGCTGAGTGTAATAAGTCAATCACAGAAGGACAAATACTGTATTAGTTCACTATTGTAAAAAGTAAGGAAAGGTTTGTATATGGGAAGAACCTTTCTTTGTTGGTTGCCAGGGAGGGGAGGGAAAAGGAGGGAACAGTGCTAGATAGGTAGAGACAAGTATTGATTTGGGTGAAGGGAAGGGCGGATGTACCAAAAGTGAGTGCATAGGAAAGAACACAGGGAAGAGATAACTACAGGGAGGAAGTGGGAATACAGCAGTTACATTGTGGGGAATAGCAGTCAATGTCATGAAACAAAATATGTATGAACTGCTGTATGGAAAATGAATTTGCTTTGTGAACTTCCACCCAAATCACAATAAAATTTTTTTAAAAAAGGAAGGAAACCTAGGGCCCCTAACAACAATAATAGCAATATACATGCCATCTCATTATCATAACAGCTTATACATTATTGCATATATGCATTATGCGATTACTACGTTTATTTTCCCTAGCACCTTAGTGGTGTGTCTGTTTTAAATTAAACACTCAGTAAATGTTTGTAGTATGAATAAAAGAATATTAGAGACAATGGGGACCTTAAGAATCTGGTATCTCCTTTTTTTTTTTTTAAGATTCTATTTCAGAGTTTTTCAGTCAATTCTGTTTTGTGCCTGAAGCATCCCTGCATTCTGCTGTATTCCTGGGCCTTTCTAGGTTCCTACAGTGACTTGCCTTGCTGCTTTTGTTGAATTAGTAAATAAATACTGTTCTTAAGACCTGAACAAGACATTGACAGATGCAATATTATGGTAACAGCCTAACACTGGTATTTAATATTTGAAGGAATGAAGGAATAGCAGTTAATTAATTTGTCATAGTCCCTTTCCTGTATCCCTTTCCTCTGCCCCAGTCCACTATTCTTAACTTCTATAGCCATTTGAAACGAAGACCTTTCCTAATTGTTGTGAAGTCAGTTCGGAACAGAAGGCTTTATCTCAGTTGTCTTCTAAGATGGCACAGAACATGTTTCCAAGTGAGTTTCCTTAAAGAAAACTGTTAATGATTTATTTTAAAATACTAGTACATGGTGAACCGTATTATATATATAAACTTTATGTTTGAAGTTTGCTCTAAAGAATGATATATGGAATACATACTGAGAAATTTTTTAAGAGTTTTGCTTTACTACATTGTATTCCAAACTCACTGCCATCAAGTCGATTCTGACTCATAGTGACTCCCTTTGGGTTTCTGAGGTGGTAAATCTTTACGGAAGTAAACTGCCCAATTTTCCTTCCAAGGAGTAGCAGGTGGCTTTGAACCACCATCCTGGTTAGCAGTCATATGCCTTAGACACTACAGCACCAGAGCTCCTTCTACATTATATTAGCATGGTGAATTTTGTTTCTTATTGTTTTGCAGGTAGATGTAAGTATAAAATTATGGAAAAATGGATTCACAGTTAATGATGATTTCAGAAGTTACTCTGATGGTGCAAGTCAGCAGTTTCTGAACTCCATCAAAAAGGGGTAAGTAATCTTTGTAAATAGAAGCATATTTTAGGCCTGGGATTGTGCCATTTTACCTGCCAATTTTGGATTCAGCAGCCTCAGCAGCCAGTAGCTGTATGAGTCAGAAGCCTCTAGCTCCATTGGGCCTGGAACAAAAGTCAAGAGACCTTCCCCAGCCCCTAGAGCTAGCACTCTGAATTCGGACTTCTAGCTTCCTAAAATGTTAAGACAGTTCTGAACAGAAGGTTTTATCTCAGATGTCCTCTGAGATGGAATAGAGCATACATGTTTCCAAGTGTCTTCTTGGGAAGACCAAGAAAGAGTTGATGCTTTTGAATTGTGATGTTGGTGAAGAATGCTGGAAATACCATGGACTGTCAGAAGAATGAACAAATCTGTCCTGGACAAAGTGCAGCCAGAATGCTCCTTGGAGGCAAAAAGGACCAGACTTTATGTCACCTCCTTTGGTCATGTTGTCAGAAGGGACCATTCCCTGAAGAAGGATATCGTGCTTGGTAAAATGGAGGGTCAACAAAGAAGGGGAAGGCCCTCAACAAGATGGACTGACAGAGTGGCTACAAAAATGGGCTCAAGTGTAGCAAGGATAGTGAGGATGGAGCAGCACCGGGCAGTGTTTTGTTCTGTTGTACATAGGGTTGTTGTGAGTAGGAGCCGACTAGAAAGCAACAACAACAACAACAAATTGTAAAAGAATAAATTCCTGTTTGTTAAAGCCATCAATATGTGGTATTTCTGTTATAGCAGCACTAGAGAACTAAGAGTAACATAATCTTTGTCTAGAAAATTTTAAAAACTTTAAAAACCTATAATTTCACCACTAAGAAGTAACTGCAGTTAACATTTTGGTGAATTTTGTTGTGGCATTTTCTGTTCATAGTCTGAGATAATGTACTTAGAAGGGTACATAAACTGTAAGTATATACTAAATGAATTTGTATTATTTCTGTTACCAGAAAAAGGTTGATTACCTCATGAGATTTGTTAAAGTTTCTAATATCCCCATGCAAGTTCATTGCTTAGATATATTAATTATATTCTATAATATTCTAAACTCTTCAATCATTAGAAAAGACATTACCTTCAGAAGACCATAATATTCCACACATCTTTGCCTGAGACCTGCTATGTACCACACACTACGTGAGGCTGGAATATGTTTGTGAGCAAAGCAGACGTAGTCCCTGCGCACTGGGAGCTTACATTGTTCAAAAGAGAGTCATCTGTGCTACACTAGACAAAGCACAGGATGGAGGTCAAGTCCTAACTATATTACTTTAACTTCTCTAGAAGGAAGATGAAATGTGAATTTTTTTTTTAAATTCTGATGTTTGTTAATTTACCTTTGTCGTTTCCAGAATAAATCTCTTTTCATTCATAACTAAAATGAGAGACTAATTTTTTTGTGGCATTTTTCAGTCCTGTGTAGGCACCTATAAAAATGATCAAGTGGTTTAAATTTAGCAGTTTATAGTCATCAAATAAGGAGCTTTGGTGGTATAGTGGGTAAGGCATTTGGCTGCTAACCAAGATGTTGGGTTCAAACCTACCAGCTGCTCCGCGGTGGAAGAATGAGGCAGTCTGCTTCCTTTAAGATTTACAGCCTTGGAAACCCAATGGGGGTCGCTTTGAGTTGAAATCCACTCTATGGCAGCAAGTTTGGTTTTTGAGTCATCAAGAATTTTACAGATTTTATACTGCTGGAAAACCTATGCTGTACATGAAGTTTATGGTCTGAAAAATTACTCTGTTATTCTGGGCTTTTGTTCATATTATTGTTCATATTATTTAATCATATTATCATTACCTTTGTTGTTGTTATGTGCCGTTGAGTTGGACCCGACTCATAGCGACCCCTCCTTGGGTTTCTGAGGGCGTTTCTCTACAGAATTAGATTGCCCAATCTTTGTCCCAAGGAGTGGCTGATGATTATTACCTTTAAATATATTTAATTCTTTCATTGTAGGGACTATTATGTGCCTCTTATTTCTGTATATTATTCAGTTCTTCCTTTTGCATTTTGGGAGCTTTATTTATTTATTTGTGATTTTGGTGAAAGTTTACAGAGCAAATTCACTTTCCATACAGCGATTCACATATACTTTGTCTCATGACATTGACCACAGTTTTCCACAATGCAACAGCTCCCCTCCCACTTCCTCCCCGTAGTTACCTCTTCCCTGGGTCCATCCCTCCATGTACTCCTGCCCCCTGAGCTGTCTCCCTGTGCATAAATAACCCTTCTTTCTCCCATGATTGTTCTCTCCAAGGAGTGTATCTACCTCAGGTAAATGTTCAACTCATATGCCTGTCTTTTGTTTGGCTGCAAGCCACAGGTGTGGGTTCAATTCCAGACCTGAAGGAGGCTTTATTTTTATCATTTTGTTTCTTTTCCTTTCAAGGGAATTACCTGTAGAATTACAGGAGATTTTTGATAAAGAAGAGGTGGATGTTAAAGTTGAAGATAAGAAAAATGAAGTATGTATGTCAACAAAGCCTGTATTCCAGCCCTTCTCAGGACAGGGTCACAGGTTGGGAAGGTGAGTAGGGTCATGATTTGTGTTTTCTGTAAATACAGGCTTGAATACTGTTCAACCCATCATTATTTTATCCGTGTAGATCACACATGTAGAACTTAGAATTTCTCCATTAGAAATGAGATTCTTTATGTTAACTTTTATGAGTACTACTGAGTCTTATTAGCTTAGTGTAAATTACTGTATGCTAGCATTACACTATAAAATCATGGAGGCTTTTGGTTTTATCAATTGTGGCAGCCTTTCTTACTGAGGACATAGGCAGAATTGGATGAATAAATCATTTTCTTGCCCTTAACATCTACCATTTAAACTTTATCAATAATTTTACTAAGTATATATCCTAGATTTTTAATATTAGGGTTCTATTTTCTAGTTACCAGTGCCTCCAACACTGTTCTATGATCAATATCTGAATTTTGATGTAATAAAAATGGAAATGTGTCTGATAAGGTTAGTATTGGTATCAAATTCTGTTCATTACTTTCACATTTTACAGTCTGCACCATATCTAATTATGCCTATGATAGAATGTGCAAAGAGATTAGATTGGTAAAGTACATGCATATTCATATGTACAAAAATATCTGGACATGACTTTCAAAATGATAAAATAATACTTTGTTTCTTTTCTTTTCCTTTGTAACCCAGTCTTATAAACTTTATGATCTTTGTACTTATAATCTCTGTAATGGATTTATAATTTCTTTCAGAAATTTTCACCTGGGAAATAGATAAAAATAAAGTCCATTGACTTAATCAACCCTATAAAAAGCATCTATTCTGTAAAACGCTATTCAAATAATACTAATAATATATATGTATAGCACTTTACAAGCTTACAGTTTTAAATATGTATTTCTTTAGATTTTTACAATCATTATGTGAGGTAGACATAACTAATATTAATATTTTTATGTTATTACTGAGGAGACAACTCAGAAGGGTTCAGTGATTTAGACAACTCACATAGCTAGTAAAAAGCAGAGGAGAACCTGAAAACATACTCTTAGAACATGTTTCTTCCTTTATATCACCCATTTTATTATAATTGGCAATAAAAATAACCACCGTATACTTGGACATATTCCTTGTATATGTTTAGTGTACCAGATGCCGTTTGTGTGTGTGTGTGTGTGTGTGTGTGTGAGAGAGAGAGAGTTATAGTAGTGCCATCTTTAAAGAACTGAATTAAAGTTATGTATAAAATAGAACTATTGAAACATCTCAGTGGGTATTTCATCAATTCCTGGAGCCTTGTTTTTTGCCAATTCCTTCAGTGCAGCTTGGACTTCTTTCTTCAATTCTTGGTTCTTGATCATATGCCACCTCCTGCATTAGTCGAACATTGTTCCGGTTACTTAGTGCCATTCTGACAGAAATACACCATCAATGGGATGGCCTTAACAAATAGGAGTTTGTTCTTAGAATTTGGAGGCTTTAAGTCCAAGTTCAAAGTGCCAGGCTCTAGGGCCTGGGTGAAAGCCCCTCAACCTTGGGGTCAGCTCTGCCTCCTCCTCCTGGCCCACTGGAGCTAGAGGTGTTTCTTCACTCAGATAGCTGCTGGCTGCTGAGGCTGAGAAGACCCAAGGTTGACAAGTAAAAAGGCACAGTCCTGATGTTACCAAGCAGGCCATTAATTTAAGTCCATTGTAAGTCCCAAGGTCAGCAGAGCATAGCAGGCTGCTGAGCAATGACATAGCTGCATGCAGGTCCAAGCGTGCCATAGGCTAGAGACCATTCCCAAAGCTGCTGCTTATATACAGGAAGCAGACCACATACCCAAAGGCAGCTACTCAGCTGCTCACAGTAGATTCCACCAAGGAGTTGACTCCCAGTCTCATCATGGGGAATACTACATCCAGCTGCCCAGACACTCAACCATACCTAGCCAAATTGACACAAAAACATAACCACCACAAACATCAACCTATTTTTTTTTGGTACAGTGACTCTGTAGTAGCACTGGAGGTGCTTACTCATTTATGCTGAGAAATTTGGAAGACAGCTACCTGGCCAACTGACTGGAAGAGATGCCTATTTGTGCCCATTCCAAAGAAGAGTGATCCAACAGAATGCAGAAATTGCTAAACAGTATCATTAATGTCACTTGGGTAAAATTTTGCTGAAGATAATTCGAAAATGGCTGCAGCACTATATTGACAGGGAAGTAACTGCCAGCAATTTAAGCTGCATTCACAAGAGGGTGTAAAACCAGAAATATCATTGCTGATGGCTGAAAGCAAAAAATATTGGAAAGATGTTTAGCTGTGTTTTATTGCCTATGAAGAGACATTCAACTATGTGGATCCTAACAAATTATAGATCACATTGCAAAGAATGGGAATTCAAGGACACTTAATTGTGCTCTCAAGAAACTTGACATACACCAAGAGGCAGTTGCTTGAACAGAACAAGGAGATACTATGAGGTTTAAAATCAGGAAAAGTGGGAGTCATGGTTGTATCCTTTCACCATACTTAATCAGTCTGTATGCTGAGCAAATAATCTGAGAAGCTATACAGTATGAATAAGAGCACAGCATTACGAGTGAAGGAAGACTAATTAACCTGTGATATGCAGGTGACACAACCTTGCTCACTGAAAGTGAAAAACACTTGGAGCACTTAATGATAAAGATAAGACTGCAGCCTTCAGTATGAATTATACCTCAACATAAAGACAACAAAACTCCTCACAGTTGGACCAGTAAGCAACAACATAACTGAAGAAAAGATTGAAGTTGTCAAAGATTTCATTTTAGTTGAATCCACAGTCAGTGCCCATGGAAAGAAGTCAAACAGTGTATTGCATGTAGGCAAATCTGCAAAAGACCTCTTTAAAGTGTTAAAGATTAAAGATGTCACTTTAAAGGCTAAGGTTCATCTGACCTAAGCAGTGGTATTTTCAGTAGCTCATATGCATATGAAAGCTGCACAGTGAATAAGGCCACAGAAGAATTGATTCATTTGAATTGTGCTATTAGCAAAAAATATTGACTATACCATGGACTGTCAGAAGCTCTGGTAGCATAGTGCCTAAAACACTTGACTGCTCACCAGAAGGCTGGCGGTTCAAACCCACCAGCCACTCCTCAGAAGGAAGGTTGGGCAATCTACTTCTGTAATGATACCACCTCAGGAACCCAAGGAGGGGTCACTGTGAGTCAGGTCTGACTCGAGGGCACATAACAACAAAAACAGCCAGAAGAAAAAACAAATCTGTCTCAGAAGAAGTGCAGCTGGAATGCTCCTTGGCAGCGAGAATGGCCAGACTTGGTCTCACCAACTTTGGTCATGTTGTCAGAAGGGATCATTCCCTGGAGAGGGATATCATGCTTGGTAAAGTAGAGGGTCAATGAAAAAGGGGAAGACTGTCCACAAGATGGATTGACATAGTGGCTGCAATGATAGCCTGAAGCACAGCATAGATTGTGAGGATAGCACAGGACTGGGCAGTGTTTTTTTCTGTTGACATAGGGCTGCCATGAGTCTAAACTGACTCAATGGCAGCTAACAACAATGAGTTGCTAAGCAGTGAGATTTAATTGAAGAATTTTAAGAAGGAATATGGCATAAATCTATGATTTGTCTCATTTTATTCTGTATCATATACAGGAGGCAGTTTAGTGTGCTGCTGAGAGCACAAGTTCTAGAACTACATACACCATTGTGTGGCAGGAACTAACCACAAGAAGTATTTACATTTAAATTTAATTAAATTAAAAATTCAGTTCCACATTCACACTAGCCATATTTCAAGGGTTCAGCAGCCACATGTGTTTTGTGACAGTGTGAATATAGTACCTTTCTGTCATGTCACAAAACTCTATTAGGCGGTGTTGCTCCAGAATCAGGAGCTCTAGCAGTACAGTAGTTAAAGCATTTGAATGCTACCCAAAAGATTGGCAGTTCAAACCTACCAGCCACTCCATGGGAGAAAGATGAGGCAGTCTGATTCCATAAAGGCTTACAGCTTTGAAAACCGTATAGGACAGTTCTACTCTGTCCTACAGAATTGATGTGAATTGGAATCAACTTGATTGCACTGGGTTTGGTTTTGGGGTTTGGCTTTATACTCAGACTGCCTGGGTTTCCAGGCCATCACTTACCATCTTTGTGACCTTTGAGCAAGTTACCTACATCTCTAAGCCTCAAACGGGTAACACTGAACTTTCTTCATTAGGTTGTAAATATTTAGTAAGATACATGGCTATAAAGCACTTAACCTGCATTTACTTGGCACACAGTAACATTAAAAAAAACTTTAGCTCTCTGTATTGTTACACTAGATGTAGGATAAAATTTCTCTTCTGCTTTTTAATAGATCTCTTTTCATCTATATTTTGTATTTACAGTATTCTATTTACATTTCTCAGTTTTACTTTGTGTGCTGGATTACAGCACACAAATTTATGAGTTACAGGGCTTCCTAAAACTGTTTCAGTTGTTATTAGTTGATGATTAAGCAGGTATGCTTCATTTTACTCACTTCATCTTTATTGTGCTTCTAAGATTCTACATGGTTTCACAAATTGAAGGTTTGTGGCAACCCTGCGTCAAACAGGTCTATTGGCACCATTTTCCGGTAGCATGTGCTTACATGCGTATCACAGTAGATTCCACCATCGGTGTCACATTTTGGTAATTCTCACAATATTTCAAACTTTTCCATAATACTCTTCCACATTTAATAACCTACAGTATAGTATCAACATAAGTTTTATATGTACTAAGAAAGCAAAAATGTCATGTGACTTGCTTTAATTCACTTTATTGCAGTGGTCTGGAACAAAATCTACAGTATTTTTGAGGTATACCTGTATACTTAACATAAATTTTTAAAAAAATTTAATGCATTTTATTGAAATATAATTTAGGTACAGTGAAATACACAAAACTAAAATGACATGGG